AACTGATCAGTTAACACCTAACCCTGAAACTCCTGAGGCACTGGAGCATGTGAACTAAACCTGGTTGTGCAGGAACACAAAGGACTGAGAGGTGATAGGACTATATGGCTTTTGGGAGAGACTTGGCATCTCACCTGGGACTGACCGAGGGAGAGATGGAAAAAAATGGATTCCATGTCTACTTGGCTGCATGGAATGCTAGCTTAGCCAGGATGGACTGTCTTAACTTTGATTCTCTATGGTAATGTAAGGACTTCCTGATGCTGTGTTTCAGTTGACTAATAAATCCTCCTCCTTTTTGAAAAGGCTGTCTGGTGTCACTTGTTGAGGTGCATTGGTTCCTGAAGAGTGTAAAAGTCTCTGATCAGGAGTCTGGCACAGTTGCACTTGCTGAGCAGAGCTCACATATGATACAGTGCCGGGGTCCAGAGGCTCAGTCTCAGGTGTGGAGACTGCATCATCTACCTGTAACGAAGAGCGAGACCCCTTGGGGGTCTGGCACGCTGAAGGGATTCTTCCAAGGGAATGTTCAAAAGCTGGAGTGTAGCACAGGACCCAGAGGATTATCCTTTTTCCCTTATCTTTCATTCTGGCCACAGAGTTTCTCCTTAATTTCTCATATCTTCCACAGTGGAGAAGATTGTCTTGCTAAGAGAAACAACTATACCAAGAGGCCTTAATCCAAGTTTCTTCTTGATAAGAAAATCTGCCTAAAAGGGGAAAGAATCTGTCATTTCTTATTGACATTGGAGAATAAGACAGCAGTATTAATATATCCCTAAAGATCAGGAGCAAATAGTACTTGGGATAAACTATTTTATTCTGTTCTCAGCTGAATCCTCCTGAGCCACTATCAATCCCAGAATACTTCAGTTCTTGCATCTAGAGATGGTGCTTTCAATGCCTCTAGAAAAATACTATCAAGCACATATTTTTAAAAAAAAATGTTTTTTGATTACATGGCCAAACTGCCAGGTGGTATCTTCCTGCATGATCTCAGCCCAAGCTGCTTTATGTTGGTCCAGAGTTCAAAGAAAAATCAGACGTTTACATCATTATAGTAACAATCTGTGACTTTTAGTGTGACTAATTTATTTGGAGAATCCCTCAGAGCAACCTCTTAAGGATTCATTCAGGCTTAATATGCTGCTTTCTTTGGCCAGCTCTCTTTATTGTGGATGAGAATCCTTGTTCCAAAAAATATAGACCAGTTCTCATATCACAGGCAATCCTACTGACCATCTTGTACTTCTGAAGTCAGGAAGTACCTTTCCAACACATCAAGACAGAAGTATCATATCGCCATCAGCAATTCAAGCAGATTATGCATATTTGCTAGTTTAGGAATCATTAAGACTACAGAGAACTAAAATTTCCATTCTCTGGCCTGGTTACACCTTTGGACCAAAGCATTTCAAAGGTCATGCAAAAAAAATACCTCGCTGAATTTCAAGAGATTTCCCCACTTCTCTCTTTCCATCTGTCACTTTATGGTAATGAGTTTAATGTGCACTGGCAACAGAGCGATCAGTTTCTATTGTCAAGATTATCAGCATCGAAAGGGCTAGAAATTGCTTGTTCTTACATGAAAACAAAAGATTCTGGCGTTTCAATGGACATCTACAGAAAAATCCCTGAAAATTTAATACTGATTTGTTTCAAATTATCACGTAACTTATAGCAAAAATAGACTCGTGCCATCTTTGTTTGGTCTAGTTACAAATATAATTGAGTGCCTATGGACAGCATAATATTGCTCATTCTAAGCCTTTTTAATCTCCTTGCTTTTTTAGAACATGGGATGCAGCGTTTCAGTGTAGTAGTAGTAGTACCTAGTAAGACAGACTAATGCAAGGTTAACTCTGTTGCCTCTCTGCAGAAATTTACAGATAAGACCAGACGCTTGTTAAGCTTTTTAAAGCAAAGTTTAACTTTTAATATTTAAATGTTAATTTTGCTCTCTTATAATGCAATTAACTTTGATCACTTTTTCTATAAATTTTTGTTAATTGCTGCTGGATATTGGGCATTTTGGACAACTTGCTCAGCTCAAAGTGTTTAGAAAATTGCTATATGGCTGAGTAGCTTCATGCGCAATAAACTATTATGAAATAAAGATTTAACTTTAATTTCCATGCTTCATTACTTGCTTTTAACGTTTTAATGGAACACTTGAAATTTAGTGGCAATTCCAGTAATGCCATGTAATATCAATGATGTATGATGATATTACAGATATGCAGTGTTATAGCCATGTTGGTCCCAGGATATTAGCGACACTGTGGGTGAGGTCAGGTATTCTACTGGATCAATTCTGTTGGTGAGAGAGACGTGCTTTCAAGCTTACATAGAGCTGCTCCTGGGGGAATTCTGTGCCAAAAAAATTATGCGCAAAATATTTTTAAATTCTGCATATTTTATTTGTCAAAATACCACATAATCACACCAGTTTCAATTATTTTGGGTCATTTATTTCAAAATACCTGTTAGCAAGTATGTCTGTAACAATACAGACAACAAAAAAGATTCAGGAAATGTTTTTTTGTCAAATAGATTCCTTACTAGGCATACAGAACTCTGAGTAATAATTCATTTAAACTACAATACAGAACTGTTTCCCCCGCACCCCTCAGAAGCAGTGTAAAGGCTTGGGGGAGTCGGGGGTAACAGAGGAGCTGAGGGAGAGGGAAGTAAATTGCTGGGAAGGAACCTGGGTGTGAACTTGGAGAGTTGTTGGGTATGGGTGGGGAAAAGTATGGAACAGGTTTTGTGGGGGGTTGGGAGGGATTGTTGGGGAGCTTCCCCCATGCAGACCCTGGCTGACCCCTAGCCTCTCCCATTCAGTCAGGCACATCTGCCCCTGTTCCCATTTGTTCCTGCACCCTCATGTGTCTTTGCACCACGTGTCCCTTCGCCCCCACTCAGACACCTATCCCCTCCTCCATCCCCATGTGACTCTGTTCCCCTACCCAGCCACTCCCCTGTTCTTATGTAGCTGTGTACCCCTTCCCCTTGCAGGGTCTGGTGCCACTTTGCGTAGGTGTCCAGGTCTGTGGGGAGTTGGCTTCTGATGATGAGCTTTGAGAGGTTGGGGGGGGGGTGTTTGAAGGCCAGAAGAAGGGGTTAAGGAAAATTTTATTGCAGGATGGGGTCCTCATTGATTATGGGTAAAGCTAAGATTTTGTCATAAATATTTTTAGTAAAAGTCACGGACAGGTCACTGGCAATACAGGGGGTCCCTGGTATACGTCTCCCCTTTATCTGTCGTTTCACGTATCCATCGCTCATCAATAGGGGAACGTATTGTGATTCACATCAGTCCTGATCCTCTTATCAGTCACTTCACCTTTTGCATGACTTTTTTCTTTGGGCGCTTCCCCAAGTGTTCAGGAGGCGCTGGGAAGGAGGGGGAAGAGTGGGAACGGGGCATGCTCGGAGAAAGGGGTGGAACTGGGCGGGAAGAGGCGACCCAGGCCATTATTTCTTATGGGGAAAAATTCCCCGGTATCCGTTGTTTCAGTATCAGTCATCCTGTTCAGGAACGCAACCCCGATGTATACTGGGGACCCCCTGTAAAGAAAATTTCACGCAATCCCGTGACCTGTCCCTGACTTTTACTAAAAATATCCATGATAAAATAGGAAGGGACTGGGCAACTGTGGGGTGGCTGGGAGCTCTGGGGCCCCCACCACCTGTTCAATTTCAGAACTTCAAAAAACTCAATTTGTGATTCTGCAGCCTTGTCTACACTAGGAAAAATAGTGTACGCAAGCCTCATATGTTGGAATTCTGTCTACACTAGTGGTTAGGTCATTGCTACTACCATTGCGACTGTACCTGGTATGACAGTCGATGTCACGCAGATGCTAATTTTTCTAGGATAGATAAGGCTACAGAATCACAAATAACATACTTTAAAAGGTGTTCCGGAAAGGAATTGGGCAACTTAATTTTTTAAAGTTCTGAAACTGAACTTCACTATAAAAATTACAAGTGGGGTGGGGGCGCTAGGGTCAAAGAATGGTATCTTTTAGTCCATTAAGAGTTTAACAGGCTATATGTGTCTATACTAGAAAAGTGAGTACCCATATTATGCTTGCTGGCTGCTATAATATGGGTATTCTTTTCTAGTATAGACACCTTGACTGGACTAAAATCTAAACCTTTTTTTAAATTCCTGACTTTGTGCTACTTATTTTCAAATTGGAAAACATCACACCTAAAGACTAAGCACTGTCAAATTTATTTGTTAAACTTTCTGTGTTATGACACTGGTTCTTGGATAGTAGTGCCAATTTTAGCTTCAATAAAAATTAATTTAAAAGTTATCTCTGTGAATACAAGGGGTTCAACAAAGCAGATTTTTTTTCTTTGACTCTAGGTCACCATTGATGAAATAATAACCTTGTTATACTTGGATGATTATTTGTTCTTCTATTTAAAATGTATATAAATGGATACAGATTGGCATGCATTATTCTTTACTTGTTAATCTTATCCCGCCTGTTTAAGGTGTTTGAAACTGATTTACAACTTCTCACTACATGTTCAGGCGATGTCTAATTTGCACAGGTAGACTGCAGGATAGAAGTGGATAGAATGCGTAAAATGGGGCCGGGGAGGGAGCGGGGGGAGAGCGTGTCACTGGGGGGGGATGCAGAGCTTTCCCTGCAGCATAGACTCCAAAGGCTTCAGTGCCACTGGGCTTGGCTCTCTGCTCTGGGCATTGTGCCATGCTGCACGGGATCACAATGCTACTCAGGTTTGGCCAGCCACTCTCTGTCATAATGACAGGGCTGGCTGGGCCAAATCTGAGAGAGTGGTGCTACAATCCCATAAACCTAGTCACAAAGCCACTCTCTCAGATTTGGCCTAGATGTCTCCCTCTTCAGGGGGACCAGACTAAACTTGAGTAGCACTGCAGCCTTGGAGGTTGGGAGTAGGTTGGCACTTAGCAAGTCATTTGATTCGTTTAACCAGTTTTTAACTTCTTCCCACAGTGAGGGGTTCAAAACCAGGTAAAAACGTCCAACTTCAAGAGAATGAAATTAGAGGACTGTGCTTGAAATCCAGAGAAATATTTCTCAGTCAGCCTATTCTACTAGAACTTGAAGCCCCACTTAAAATATGTGGTAAGTATTGACTTACTGTGTATTGGTCAGTTGACACTTGCTTTCAGTGAACAGGCATTAACTTGGAAATATATTTGCAGAAATATTTTGTTTCTTACATACCTATCTATAGGTGTCTTAAATCTAAATACAACAGAACTAATGTAAAACAGTTGTAATCAGCTGATCTGAACAAAAGGCTATAGCACAAGGGCATAAACAAACCAATGTCTGGTTAATATAAAGAATAGTAATGAAGAGGGTAGCAAATACAGAAGTAAAAAAGTAGGGGCTGAGGAGCAGAAACTCCAATGACAAAGATAAGTGTGCTGAAACTAGACTACCAAAAGAGGATGGGCTACTTCTGGGTTGGGGATGCGGGGGAGTCCCAGAACAGAAGACCTTGTATGAAGAAAGCCCTGCCCTCAGCACAGCCCTGATTGAATCTAGGGGTAGAACAGAGACCCATAATAGTTCTAGGCAAGGTATTTGGGGCATAGATTCCTAGCCTAAGTAATTTTATATTGTGATGAAAGGCAAAATAGAAACCACTCCAGTAAGAATATGTAACTTCAGCTCTTAAATTAGGTTGTTTTATTAAATCCTTTTCTAAGACTGAAGATTACCTCAATTTAGAGTAATTTGTTCATTATATCTTATAACTGCACAGCTGGTTTAAAATCTAGTAGTCTTTATAAGTATGATTGTTGGGCATGCTCTATTTAAAAAAAAAATCTAGACCAGAAGTGAAAGTAGCATTCACTTCCATGCCAACTTTGCAGCTAGGATTTGAATAACCTGGTTACTTTCTTAACACATCCATAAATGGTACCCAAGATTTATATCTAGGAGGGATCGTCTAATACTTACATATGCAGCATTCTGAAATGCAAAGCTGCAGATGGATGCCACCGGGAGGCATTAAGACCAAAATAAAGGGTCTTGATCATAGAATCTTTTCTCAGGCAAAACTCAGTGGAGTCGAATGGAGTTTACCTGAGTAAAGACTATAGGATTGGGCACAAAGAGCTTTAACTTTTGGGTTGAGATATTAAAAAATATGTATGAATATTCTTAAATAGCAATTCTTTGGTCATTCAGCACAACTTGCTGGGTTATGTAACTTCAGTGACTTTGTATACTGCTGAATGTTTATAATTTTCATACTAATAGATTAGAGACCATTTGATTCTTCAGACATCTGTGGTGGGCAGCATGTAGCTTTACATGAGATCAAAAATAGATATAGCTTTTCTCAAGTTTTATTTGGCTAGCAAGTCAGTCAGCGATTGTCGTGAAGGTCTCGCTTATGTACCACCGCTTATGAATGCCTTTGTTTTTAAGGTGACATCCATGGACAATACTATGACTTACTTCGACTCTTTGAATATGGAGGTTTTCCACCAGAAAGCAACTATCTATTTCTTGGTGACTATGTTGATAGAGGAAAACAGTCTTTAGAAACAATTTGTCTCTTATTGGCCTACAAAATCAAATATCCTGAGAATTTTTTCCTTCTTAGAGGGAACCATGAATGTGCCAGCATTAATAGAATTTATGGATTTTATGATGAATGTAAGTAACATTTGTTTTTTGGTGGATGGAAGAGGGGGGTTGTTATGCACTTAATTATGCTAGCTTACAAAAATTCTCTCCCAGTCTGGTTTTATTTGAACTGTGTACTAACTTACAGCTTCTCTCTTGCATAGCTCAGGTGGCCTCTTGGAAATGTGTACCCTCAATGATCTAATTATGGTTTGATCAGCAAAATAGAAAGTACTGTGTAGACCAGGGTAGGCAACCTATGGCACGCGTGCCGAAAGCAGCACATGAGCTGATTTTCAGTGGCACTCACACTGCCTGGGTCCTGGCCACTGGTCTGGGGGGCTCTGCATTTTAATTTAATTTTAAATGAAGCTTCTTAAACATTTTAAAAACCTTTATTTAGTTTACATACAACAATAGTTTAGTTATATATTATAGACTTATAGAAAGAGACCTTCTAAAAACGTTAAAATGTATTACTGGCACGCAAAACCTTACATTAGAGTGAATAGATGAAGACTCGGCACACCACTTCTGAAAGGTTGCCAACCCCTGGTGTAGAATGACTGGTATAATTTTATTCCTATTTGATCACTGCTCTGATTAACAGCGCTCACTGCTGTACACTGTTAAAGTTCAAATTGTAAGCCTATCTAATCTTGTATAAGATAGAAATTCTAAATTGCAGCACAAAAATATTTACCTTTTCTCTGATGTATAAAACTTGTGTGTGTAATTACATTGTAAATCCTTTAGCGAATAAATGGTCCTTTTATCTTATACCCTGCTTACCAGATAATAAATACAAGATTTGACTTTTTACAAAACTGTTTACATTAGAAATAGCTGATCCTTATTTCCGCTTTTCAGGAGGACTTGAATAGTGATACAGCATGATATGCATTTGTACTTTCTTTAGGAAAATAACTAAAAAGGTTGATTTTCCCCCCCCCCCCCCCCATGGTAACCATTTGTAACTAAATATAGCCTTTACACTAAATTTGATGCTGCTTTTCATGAACCAGTAGGGTACACTATATCTATAAAAATGTATTTAAGCAAAGATATAACTTACATACATGGTGATGGTGCTGCCCACCTAATAACTTTTAGCCCAGAGTACTAGCCTGGGATGAGGGAAACCCAGGTTCAATTCTCCCCCTTCCATGCTCCAGAGACACTTTATTATTTATCTACAATGGAATAGCATGACTGAGGGAGCCCCACATCAGAATATCTCATAGTTCACTGGTTAAAGAATTCTCCTGAGAGGTGGGAGACCCCTGTTCAAATCCTCTATCTCCTGACAGAGAATGGGGGAATTGAATCTGGGTTTTCCACAACCCAGGCAAGCTCTAACTACTTAGCTAAAACCTACAAGGTAGGTGCCACCTCTGTTGGCTGGATTTTCTCCTCCATCTGGATTTTGAACAAGTCCCAATCCTGTAAATAGCCTCTGAGCATGCATACCAGATTGGGCCTATACACGACTTAGGTGGCCAAATATCTGTCTTTATCTGGTTCAGGAATTGCTCTGGGAATTTGGTAGGCAATAGGACTCCAGACGCCTAGAATGAGGCAGTAGTGTGCATTCCAGAGACAGAAACAGTAGGCTCCTAGGGAACTCTTACAGCAAAAACATAGGAGTCAAATGAATGTAGGCACCTACAGGGTTCAGCAGGAGTTTTGTGGATTGTAGTGGAGCTAAAACATACTGGGTCCGATCCTATCCTATGTTTTTCGAGATTCAACCTAGTAGATCTCATCCTCACACCTATTTTTTTCATAGATTGGAAGACAAAAACAAGCTTCCTTGCTTTTTTCAACTTCCAGTTGGTTTCTTAACTTCAAATGAACTAGTCATAAAACTCAATTAGCAGAATAAACTGAAATAAGGGAAAAATCTTTCTGCACCTGTAGAAGTGACTACTGCTTTCCAAAAGCTGGTTTAGCACTTCAACTATATCTGGTTCCAGTTGCTTAGTCAGTGACTTCCACCACTTTAGTGGTTTGACTTTCTTTAAAACTTGGCAGCAGATACGTTGTACTACTTAATATTTTTTTGTATTTAATTTAAATGATTTTAAAGATTATTAAATTCAAATGTAATTTTAGGGGTTTTTTTTAAATGAGCTTGTATTTAATTCAAATAAGTCCACTTTTTTTAAAGTCATCAGCTTTTATCCACCCTCTGCTGCCCCTCTCATTAGAGGACACAGAGAGGCAGCTCAGATTACAGGATTGACATGTTTCATCTCTTCCAAAGATCATGTCAAGGTCTTCCAACAAAGGGAAGACAGTAAGGACCTGATACATTTCAAATATTGTATATATTTTGGAGGCGGGGGAGAATTGAAGCTATCTTTGTGCCTCTTAATGGAACAGTAAATACTAAAATTGACTTGTCTTTGGCTTGCAGTTTTACTTCTAAACTAAAACTGTAACTGGCATTCTTGTCTCCTGGTAAAAATAATCTTGCTGACAAGTGACTTATTTATTGAAAATCTGACTGTAAAGGTTTTGATTCCACTTCACTACTGGCTTATTAAAAGAACACTCTTAAGATTTAAATATTCATAGTTTGGCAATGGAATGTGGAATCTTTCATGTCTTGTTCAGATCTATCAGACTGGCAAGTTTGATCTTGGTGGTCTTAGTACCCTGTTTCCCCGAAAATAAGACATCCTCCGAAAATAAGGCCTACTTA